TACTTCCATGAAAAAATATGAAATGTTGTATGACTATGTTTTAAACATTTCAGGAATATCTATACGTATTTTATTCAAACATCCACTCTCTCTTAAACAAAATAAAAATAAGGTTTAGTGAATCATGCCGCCATTCTATCTAATATTCTAACTGTTGGTGTAGCTCTTGAAAATTCCGTAGCAAACATGAAAATTACTGGTGATGTTGCAACGTGTTTTGATTTAAGAATATTCCAACTAGTATTTCCTAGTATCTTATATTGTTGGCCAATGATGATCTGGGCTGCATTGGTCGTAAGTAAAACTACCATAAAAATGTGCCCGCTCATGTCTAATCAGAAATGTTATCTTCCGGACTGCTATTCAGTGGGGAGCGAGAAGTATTTATAAAAACATTCTACTGAAGCAGAGTAGAAAAGAAGATTTTATAATCATTAAACGAACACGCATGTGTATTGTAAAATATAAAAATGCGACCACTCTCTCAATATATTACTTGCAGAAGAAGAATTGAAAATCAGACTCCACACGAGTGGGAATTAGTATGCAAAGAGTGTTTGTTCGATGAGAGAAAGCGTTTGCAGATTTCAACGAATTGTGGGTAAAAGTGGTGAATCTGTTTCAGGTCAAAGGGGCTCACCTTAATTTTCTTTTTTTAGTAAACTTTTCGACACAACTGGGCAGTTTCCTATTAGATCTCTACCCTGGTTAAACGAGGCTCTTTGTTTACATATTTAAAATGAGTAATTATTGCTCCCGGCCTGCGCCCGGCTATACCGTTTGTTATGTTTCATGTCATGATTCATAACCTCCACAGTTTTTTTTTTAATCCCTCTTTTTATTTTCAATTGTTTAACATTTGATTTTCCTACTCCATAATTTATTTTGTCCGCCTTGTGCAAGTCTGCGTCTTAAGTTTGCTTATCGGCAGAATGAAGCCAGATCCTACTAACATATTTTATTTTTAATTTTAATTTTTTGTTTTGTTTTATTTTCTTTATTGGACCACATTTGGATATGCGGTATTGTGATGAATGTTAAAGAATGGATTCTTGTGATGATTTAGTAAAGTGTAATGCATGAAATGGTCGTATTCAGATTAGCTAAGTTTAGGATAGTGAGTGAAGACCACCTATCTTCCCTACGGCCTTATGTCACGATTGTATTTTAAGAAAATACACATATAATTCCCCTTGGGAAGTGTGAGAAACAGACTATTAGAGTAGAGATGTATCTAGCTAGTTTAACAGTAAAACGGAGACATATAATTGCCAATCTAGTAGCACGCTTAAATTCATGTAGTCGGGTCACTAAGCAGAAAACTCGTTCGAGCAATTACCATGAAAATATTTGTAGAACAGGCAGACGTAAGCCGCGTCACGTCGGTGAGAATGTGACTGAAGACGAGATACTGGGTCAGAATCGTTTGTATTGCATATGTTTTAAAGACTCTTGATATGCACATTGATGTCAATACACGGACGAATGGATGATTTATTCATGTGTACAATAGATTCTGACAAGAGAAAAAATTGTCAGACACAATGAACGAACTTTCGTTGCAGCAGTCGTAGCAATTGACTCTATCTAATCGCTTCGCGTCATGTTAGTGGAAAACCTGAAGCCCAGATGTCGTAGGGTTTTGCTCTTCTGGATTTCAGCATCAGACATCTTGTTGATAGAAAGGAAAGGTGACGAAATGAAAGTAGTTTTGCCTTTGAGGCGTTGAAATTAAAAAAAAATTCTTGCCCCAGATTAATTACGGTGAGGTCCATTTTAAGAGTAGTTGACTTTATCGGATTTCTTGGTTTTGTTATCAATGTGCTGTTTTTATCTTCCCGATGATTGTGCAACCATAATATTATACACATTAACGTTTACACGACATTTTTATTTTCATACAATATTTTTTTCCAGTTCTTGCATAAAGCTTAAGAAAAAATCTAATAAAAATATTTAGAGAAAACTAAAAATTAAAATACAATAGAAAATAACTGATTCAAAAAACTGGTAATTAAAATATTTTCTTTGGCGTCAACATTTGTCAGTTTAACTATACATTTTACAGCAATCAAACCAAAATTCTATGAATTCTTGAGTTCCACTGGAATAACTTGTGGCCTAGGTTATCACATGTATATGCGACGTTTAAATTTTAGCACCAGTCGTTTGATTTTGATTTTCATGTCCGTGTTCTTTGCTTTTATTTAAACAGAAATGAGAAAAAGATTGAGCCGATAGTGAAAGAAAGAAGAAAAATTTTAAGGATTTATGAAAAGATACAATGCTATAACACCAAAGAGTTCTAAAAGAAAATCTTATTTGGTAGTGGAATTGACATATTTTTATTTCATTATCTTAGGGGAGAATTCTCTCCGAATTCACGGACAAACTGAAAGGAAAATTCTTTCAAAGATTTTTAAGGAAATTGGCAACACTTCAGCATATAAATGAATTTTATTTTTCTTTATGGATTTACTTTTTAACCTAGAGTTCAAATTTGAAGAAAATTATCTTTAGCATTAATGCAAATATAAAATTTAACTCAAGTGAGTGATGTTACATAAAACAGTTAAAATAATATTTATATAAAAAGTAGTTACCGCCACAGGTTGACCAAAAAATATGAGCATGCTACTATGAAAAAAAGTTTTATCGTCGAAATCTTTATGTTTTATTATGAGGGAAGACAAACGAATTTTTTTTTTTATTATTATTAAATAATATTTTTTGATCCATTCTAAAATATTGTTTAATATTTTCTTGCGTCGGAGGTAGGACAAAAAGTATTATATGGAATCTGAGCGTCTTTTATGTTGAAAAAACACATCGATTTGGAAATTCTTGTAAAAATTTAGTATTTGTTGAATTTTATTAGAATTTTCAGAAATTAATCAGAAATGAATATAATTATTTTAGAAATGTTTCATTTTTAGAAATTCCTCGTAATTTTGATTTTACATCAGCCCCCCACCCCCGTCACGTATAAATCTTATGAAATTTTGAGAAATTAATTTTTGCAACAATAATAATTATGTTAGTTCAAAAACACCTTCAAAATGTAAATCCTCAATTGTATTTGTAAAACAGGACCTTCAGTTACAGAAAATCTTCTCTGAATTTTAAAACAAAAAAAAACATTAAAACTATGTGCCACCGAGGTTTGATCACACTTAAGGCGTAAAATAAATTTAAAAAATGTAAAATTTTTCTTGAAGCATTTATTTTAGATTTAATTTCAATCTAATAGATTAAATATTTTCAATAAGCAATATAATTTGATCTAGGTGCCTCCACAAAATGAAAACAAAAATGCAATGAAACTAAAATTAAAAAAGCTATTAATTGCTCATTATTATTATTAAGATATATTATGGTCACTTTTGTCTTCAAAAACTTTTTTTTCATGAATAATAAATTTTTACAAGAATTTTTATTATTTTTAAACTCTAATTTAAATGTTTTAAATCTTTTAAAATTTTAAATCTTTTAAAATTTTAAATCTTTTAAAAATCTTAGTTTGCAGAGGTCATTATTAAGTAACAACTATATTTAATAATCATAAGTGGAAAATCTTATTGCAAATTAGGACACCCGAACAATTTTAAAATAAGTCCGAATATTTTTGTGTGTGTATTTTATACAGTGCCGTGGTTTTGTTTTTGTTTTTTTTGTTTTTTTGTTTTTTTTAAATACGGACGTCCGTACACATTATCAGAAAATAATAGCGATAACTATGCTAAATTTACAGTCAAAGATTATGAATTCAATAAAACTTTAGATTACATGGAATGTTTTCTTTATTTTTTCAGATTAGTAGATAATAATAAAAATCATATAAAAACGCGCTCCCGTTAGATTCCTCAAGTAATTGTACTGCTATATCAACCACAAAAAATAAAATAAAATAAAAATAGATGAACTTCCGGTTTTCAACCAAATCATCAGTACCTTATATAAACTGCTACCTTCGTATTAAAAATTCCATTTTTCTAACAATTTAAACTAAAAAAAAATATTTGTTTCAAATCAAATTAATTAAATATTAAAATATAGTTTCAGAAAAGCACTTATTATATTTTAAATATATTTAGCCCTGTACTGAATATATAAGTACTGAGTACTTTACATTTATATCCCTCTTGTGGACCAAGGTTTCGTAAAATAACCACAATGGCAATGGTAGTAATTTCTAATTTCTTTATTTTCGTACCAACGAGATACAAATAAAAAACATACCCTCAACACCTGGCCACTCAGCTCTTTATAAATTAATGTTTGAGGTAATTTAAGTCCTCCAGTATCTGCCTATGTAAGTATTTCATTATCTAAGGAGTCCTTCCATTTCTACCGTACATGCACCCCACTCCCCTGACAACAGGACGGATGGACGTGATCAGTTGAATTTTTGCTCCAGATATGCGTGCCATTGTCCTCGCATTTTCGGGGATAAAGTTCGATGTGCCCACGTTTTTCTACTTGGGCTTTGATTTGGTATTGGTGTCGTCTGATATTTTCTCGAAATATTTTTATTACGCCAACTGAATTTCTTCTGGTTCAGTACTTGGGATATTTGGTTTATGTACATTGGCTGACGAGGAGATATATTGAGTATTGATCCCCATAGGTAATACACCGGGTCACTGTGACAGGAGACCAGGACCTGCATATGTATCATATAGTCCAGGATAAGATGTGGTTAATATATTTCACGTGTTGCTATTGTGAACCGGCTGCAAATCGAGGTGCCATGAGGCCGAAGGACACGCTCCTGGGTAGAATGATGTGAGTTGCAAATAACTGGGTGGATCATACGGGGGAATCGACGGTTGCATAGAGTTACCCGATTGTGTCCATCCACCTTACTGCAGGTTACCGAGTATCTCCACCATCCTTACTAGTATTACCCGACTAGAGTAAGGGACCTGTTGATTCTGGATTTGAAAAGAAGCGCCAATTTATAATTCCCAAAATTTTCATTTTAGAAGAACTCTTTCCGCATGTGCCTTTTAGACATTGCTGTCTCTCTGTTCATTTTATCTCCACTGATTCCGTATTTGTCCCGTAAGACAGAGAGGTGGTTCTTGATAACACGACTGTATAACATAGTAGCAGATGACATGCCAAGATCCTGGCTGGAAGTGTTGCGTTGGGTCAGCACGTTTATAACACAGCCACCACATCTGTCCGCATTGTGTGCGAATATACGCTTAGTCGTTCTGACCAGCCATTTCTGTGTTGGTTTAAGCCGACGAACTGCTTTCCATATTCCTCAATAGGTGTTCCCCCGTAGAAAGAAAATTATTTATGTACACCATATGTCCAGAATCAAGTTCACAGTGCTTTGCATACTGACCTGGTCTTTCTAGATGATGTTAGGGCCACTTCCAACCAGTGTACATATCAGTATATATAATATAATACATTTAGTGTAGTTCGAAAAAGTCAATCAGTTTTGTTGGAATTGGAATTCAGGGTTATGCGGAAGCATGAAAGGCTTCTTAGGCTGTGACAGTGCAATAGAGTTACAGATATGGCATTGAACTCTGCTTTGACGGACGCTGGATTCCAAACCAGACCCCATTTTCTATCATTCGATTTAAAACGTGGTGTGCAGAATATATTGATTCAAATACGAAATTTGACTTATTTCAGATGGCATTCTCTATTATATGTCTCAAAATTATATTTAGATACATTATATTTATTTTGAATTTCCCTAGTTTACTTATTCAACAATATTGCATATGAGCAATATATTACAATACATAATTAGGTTTACAATAAAATGTGTATTTTATATGAATACTAGTCTAAGAAAACTGAGACGTAGTAGGTTGGGGGGTATCATAGATTCGGCGTGTTAAGACACTTGCCCCGGCCCTGGACAAGCACGGGGTAACAGACCAACATTGATAAGAGCTTCTTAATATAGGGATTTTAGGACCCCAACCGTATCTGGGAATCTTTTTCAGCTTTTCATTATTTATATATTGTGTCCCGTGCAATAATGGCGTTATTGTCTTTTTTCAGCATTTTTTACGATGTTTGTTTGCTGTGACTAATGTTTGCATCAAGTATGGAATCTTAAAACGTGGCATTCGACATAGCAGTTATTTGAGTTGCTCGTCATCAACACCATTTTCAATAAATAATCAAATAAATTTCCATTCTAAGTATTTCATGAAATAAATAAATAAATGAAAAAATAATTCCAATATCGATATTCTGAAGTTGACAGCAAAACACTTTTCTCGATCTCTTTGTTAAGAAGTGCGGAGACGACATCGATGGAGTATTAAGAAAAAAATATGACATATAAATGCCATTTGGAATAAAGATTAGCAAATATAATTGGATTATTCTGTCCAATTTGCCGCCTTAAATGAATAAAACAAACTATGCTGATCTTGGTTCATAGATACTACCTCCGCTCTTCCAAATGCTTACTCTTTTACTTTTACCATCTTTCTTTTCTTCGACTTCTCTCTTCCTCATGGTCACATAAACATACATCTATATATATATATATATATATATATATATATATATATATATATATATATATATATATATGTGTGTGTGTGTGTGTGTGTGTGTGTTTTCAATAATGCAGATTGCCTTCTTTAGCCACTGCTTGTTCTTGAGTTTAACGAGAACTGACCGGCGGAGAACTTCTTTTCTTTTTCCTTTCTTTTAATTTGACTGCATTGGCTCGCTCGGATTATAAATAACAATATTCTGTTAACAGATAACGTACTGCTGTTTCGTAACAATTCGTAAAAGAATGGATCATTTGGAATCAATAGTATCGCAGGAAATCATATAAAAATGGGTTAATTTAATGCATACATCTTACCTCAATATTGAGAATTTAATACTCGGTAGTTTCAATGATATATTGTAAGAGGAAACACACCTGAATATGGGTTCGTTGGTGCTGGGTTTTGGCGAGATAGCTAATCTGGTCGACCATTGGTTGTTTTCGCTGACTAAAAAAAGTAATTAAAAATGCTTAAAGAATTGATTACTCAGTGTATTACGATTGCAATAAATTCAATACTTATAAGAATCATCGTGTATATGGCTTTACCAGATTACTTCAGACTACATTTAGTAATTCCTTTTATTGAATTAGAAAGAAAAGTCAATTGAGAAATCAGCGTGATCATCACCAGTCTCATGACCATGTGTAGACGTATGGTCACTGTTCAAGCTGAGCACATGACCAGATCAATTCCTATATCTGTGTCGACAACGTGATCGGTATTCGTCCATGCTTAACGTATCTTCGAAAGTTCGAACTGTAGAAGCCAATCCTTTTCCATATCACTCTGGAGCCAATGTCTTCCAACTTGAAGGCTGGTCCTGGTCACTGATACATGGCCGTTGATTCCCTCGGGCCAGCCCTCCGCCTTGACCTTTGAATTCAGTCTAGCCCTCCGCCCAATGATGCCATGTAATCATCACACTGCCTGCCTAGCCCAGTGTGGAGATGGCTGTTGAATCTTCAAGAAAGTTCCTCTTTCAAATCCTGTTGTGTGTCTAGCCACTCTCCTCACTAGAAAATACTTGTGGTGTGGAGGTACTTTTTAGTCGGCTATAACCAAACTACGAGATAGTTAGTACTGGGTTAAATTATAACTTAAAACACATAGCGTAACCATTAATATTTTTCACCTCAAGCCACTAACACGAAGTGCGTAACTGACTGTGTGTTATGGGATCTTACCCATAATAATAATAATGGATTATTCAATACTTAATAAATACTGCGCCTCGGGAGTAGGCAAGGAGTCGAAGTCAGTAGTTCAAGTCTAGTCAAGAGTCGAGTCAGAGGCAGTCCGAAATAGAGTCGCGTTCATACAATTACTGCAAGACATTGGAATAGTGATACTGGTCGAGACTACATTGTTCTCTCTACTAAACCTAATTGTTCATACTAACACTTCTACTTCTCTGTATATATTCCTGTTTGTAATATATCTGTGTTATCCCATACCTGTGTTCGAGTTCTTCTTATTATGTTCTACCTTGGGCTATCACCGTGGTACAAGGAACCGGACCATAACAGTGTGAAAGATTATAAGACACCATTATGAAAAGGCAAGAATAATGAAAGAACAGAAATTAAGAAAACAGAAGATAAAGATTGGCATTGTATTTCAATTTTTGAAACCGGACTGGAAAACAATAAGCCGTAAGAGATTTCCATAAGCGGGAAGATCGATAGAAGAAACTGTTAGCATAGAACTTACGGTTATATCTAGCCATATCAGCTGTAAAATGAGATCTTGCCGCCAATCTAATATTTCGATTAATTTCATAGTGTCTACATATCGAGGACTAGATTTCGTCAGAACAATTGCCATTAAAGTTTGAATAGAAAAGTCAGAGGGAAGCTATATTACGACGGTGTGAAAATGACTGAAGTCGTGATGTCAGGTAAGGATCAATAACATTGCAGATTCTTGTTGAGATTTTATCTACCATCTCTAAGCATATAGCAGAAAACACTAGAAAATATGCGGCAATAGTATTCTAAGCTGATACGAACGTTAGGCTTGTAAATATGTAAGATAGATGCGGGCGAGTAAAATTCTACAGAACGGCACAAAGAATCAATTTTCCAAGCACTTTAACTAGCAATAGATTTGATATACTATTTTCACTTCCTGTCAGCGGAAAACCTTAGACGAAGAAGAAGCTCTAAGGTACTTTCATCGAGGTTAGCATCAGTCAAATGATGGAAGTCAGAAAGGATTCTCTAAGACGATTAATGGAGAGCATATTAATTTTGGGTGTTACGATTAACAAGCAATTAATTGCGCTAGTTCACAACAGATAGTACTTATTTTTTTCGCTCACCTGTCAATTGTAACACATCGAACTGATGAGGATTACTATTAAGATAAATGTAAATAGTTTTGTCATCAGTATAGATGTAATTGTACGAAACCCACTGCGGTCGTCCAAGACTTCTGACAAAGCGGCTGATAGATGAAGATCGCTCCGATCTCAGACCTCCCTTATCCCCCATTGTGATTTAATTTTGATCATAAAGAGCCAAGATCCAATCGTCGCAGGTGTCTTCGTGTCGGGCCGGCCAAAGCTGGGCTAAGACAAATAACACTCGAATAAATGAACAAAAAGTAAATACAGTTTTTATATCAATCATTCATATAATAATTGGTTATATCAGATTTCGCATGCAATGAGTTATTGACCCAATCTACGTCTAAATCGGAATTGATATTATTGTTGACGACTTGGTAAACTTTGGGTTACTGTTTTGGTAAAGTTTGCCACAAGGCTGAAGTAAGAGCCTTACGACGGCATATAATCACATGGACCTCTCTCTGGTCTTGTCTCAGTCTCTTCTGAGACTCGTCCCGCGCATTTGTATTTATGGTCATTCGCCCAAAATGGCATGTGGGTTATGGCGAGGTAGGAGCATTCCGGTGGATTCCCTCCGGCGTACGTCTTAACATTGGGGAAATTCCCTCTCTCAATCCCCTCTTACTAAACCTGCTCAGTGAGCGTGAGTGGCTTATCTACCTCCTCCTGGACAACTTTCGACCAGGGGAATCAACACCAAATTCGTTGTTTACTAACAGTTAAATTTTCGTTTTACAGCTTGCATTTTCAGCTGCGTAGATCAAATGTCAATCATCATTTCTCCCTAAGTTTGATTACATTTTCATTGTTCAAACTTCTGGACATACAATTCAAGTCCTTTATATGTGAATTAAATCATCAATTCTTCACACGTGTAAGGGTTCTGGGATTGCAAAGGAAATATTTTCCGCAGATTACTTCCACATCGCAGAGAACAACTCACTGTAAGTTCAGGCTCGAATATCGGGGAGGGGGGAGAAAGAAATGCTGAAATCTCGATTCGCAGGTACTCTCTCACAAATCACAATGCACGTAACCAGTCAGAAAAATAACTCACTCTCCGACAAATGCGGTAGCCGAAATACACAAATTTTATTCCTCTCTGTCGATTCGAGAAAACCAACTGCTTTTATCAGCCGAGCATTTTTCTATTCGTCTACAACTGAGAGTGGACACCCAATTTGAGAATATCAAAATACT